ATTGTTTAATTATATATATATTTTATGTAATTTAGATATGCAGATCAACAAGTTGTAGCAGGTGAAGATGGTGTGCCTAGGTATTTTAATCATCCTTTTATGCAATCTTCTTTCATGTTTGTTGGAGAGATGATGTGTATTATAATGTTCAAAATTCTTTACCATTATTATAGTCGTAGAGGTGTAAGTTTTCTTTGTTAAATATATAAGTATTTACCTAATACAGAATATTTCAACTTATATTTATTTCATTGCAGGATAATTCTATAGATAATAATCCTTTAACTAAAGGCTCACGTGTGTATAATCCATTTATATTACTGATTCCTGCTTTATGCGATACATGTGCTACCTCTATCATGTATGTTGGCCTTAATTTGACATATGCAAGTAGCTTTCAAATGTTTCGTGGTGCTGTTATTGTATTTACAGCTATACTTTCAATGGGTTTTCTTAATAGAAAATTATGTAGTAGAGAATGGTTTGGTATAGGAACAGTTATAATTGGTTTAGCTCTTGTTGGGCTTAGTGATATAACTATGGAAGATTCAACAATCAACAAAAATTCTATTTTAACTGGAGATTTGCTTATAATATGTGCACAGGTAAAATTTATTTTTTAATTTTTTTGATACTTTTTTTTTAAAAATAAAATTTATCTTTTTTTCTTTCAAAAATTAATTATTACTGTAGATTATAACAGCAATTCAAATGGTGGTGGAAGAAAAATTTGTAACAGTACAAAATATATCAGCATTGGAAGTAACTGGCTGGGAAGGTATTTTATAATATTTGTAATATACAAAATGAAAACGAATGCAACAATATGTTCTAATGAAGATATATTTTATAGGTGTATTTGGATTCATTTGTATATGCATCTTAATGATTCCTCTTAACTTTATACATGCTCCACCTCCATTTGCTGATAATTCTCGAGGAACTCTTGAAGCTACAAAGGATGCATTTATTCAAATTGGAAATAGTAGTCATTTACTGATGGCAATAATTGGTTAGTATATGCATATATACTTAATATTATTTGTTGAAAATTTATGCTTTATATTATTCTGGTACAGGTATATCATTCAGTATAGCATTTTTCAACTTTGCTGGTATTAGTGTTACCAAAGAAAAGAGTGCTACTACAAGAATGATATTAGATAGTATTCGAACAATTGTTATATGGGCTTTCTCTTTAGCATTTGAGTGGCAGACATTCTATTACTTACAGGTAAATCAATAACGGAGATTTGCATAAACAACTTTCTTTTTTAATTAAATAAATTAAACATAAGTATCCTTCTTTTAAATTTCAGCTTATTGGTTTTACTATTCTACTCGTTGGAATGTGTTGCTATAATAATGTTATTATTCCTCAATTATTGAGAAAATGTAGATATCGTCTGTGCCGCCATAGACCACCTTCAAATGATCAGGAACAAATTATTAATACAGCCGCAGACGACGTTCAGGAAAGTGCATAAAAACATATTTCTTTTTAAATACACCTGGATGTCCACAATATTTTAAAGAACAGTAAAGCCTGTGATCTTAATAACATATAAAATATTTTGGATTTGCTTCATTTATGAAATTGGTTACTGCATTTAGTAAAATTTATAAGTATACGAAATAGACTAGCAAAACTTCTAATCAAAATGTTAAAACTGTAACACAAATATTTCAAGTTATTTGCTCAGCTTTTCAGTTTATTATGTAAGAAGTTATTTGTTGGAGCAAATGTAAACGTGCTTCATTGGTCCAACAAAATTAAAAAAAAAAATGAAATGACGGACGAAATATTTTGAATTTTAAGTAGTCTAAAAATATCTTCCACTTATTAATTAAACCAAGCAAAAATTAAGAGATTATGATTCTTCATAAGGAAAATTGTTTTCACTTAAAGATGATCTTGAAGTGTCATCATTTTACAATACTGTTTTTAAATAATAATTTCGAATCTCAAGCTTCTGTTTGTAGATAGTATTATTATAAATGAAATAAGAGTATTTTGTAATTGTATACTTACATATATTTTACTACCTTAAAAAGATGTGCTAATATACGTATTGATGTATGAAACATTAAATTATTTCTTTACATGTTTTTGTTGTCCTTATTTTGCAATGTTTAGAGAAATCTACATCAAGATTACCTTTCAAGTATGTCTTACAGTTTTACATTACTGCTTTTGATCAACTTTTTTTAACTCTATACTTATTCACCAAAATACTCATACAGAACTATCACTTTTTACTTCAGATCTACAACTAATCAAACATTAGGTTTTAAGATATTCTTAAGGCTAAATAAAAGAGAAAGTAATACTTAAATATTATATATGTTTATTATTTCCTACATATTTTATACGTAAATGATAAGCTAACTTGTGCAAAAAATTATTTATGTAGCACATACACATATGTAATATGTGCATGAAGCACAATTCTATACATATATAAATATATATCTATATATATGTACTAACGATATGCACGTATGCATATTCATGCATGCATATGTGTGTGTGTGTGTGTGTGTGTGTGTATATATATATAATAAAGTTTTCTAAATAAAGTATTGACACTTTCATAAATAGGAAAAGAATATATTTTGTGCTACTTCAGGTAAATTATATCTATAAAAAATATTAGGTTGTAATTGCAAAATCTTTCTGATTTACATCGATGTTTTTTTACCAAATTAAAAACGCTGTCTGGAATGTATATTTATATCAGTAACTTTTACTTTTTTACGTGTTTATCTCATTTTTAGTAAATTGCTGTCAACTTAAATAACTTCTAATCGCATTTGTATCGAATATAACTTCGATCAACGACAAGAAAAACTAATATATCATATTACAGCTTTTACATGTACACTGATATTATAACATTTAATATCAAATAAAACATACGTGATATTCTTTCTAATAATTAATGTCCTCATAACTATGAGCAAAGCACATATGACATGACCATCAAAACTATCTAAACTTTTTAAATGAAGTCGTAACATTTATTATGCGTTCACGACAAACGATGTAAATGGAAGATGAATTCAATTATATTGCTCTGGCAATACATAAGAAATATCATCCCATGGATGCCGATATAGACCTTGCTTCAACCTCTTTTGATCCATATAATGACCTACAATAATGTAATAATTATATTATTCCATCATTTATACGTATCTTTTTATAAATTATTGTAGTATGAAAGAAGACAATATTTACCAATAAAACCTATACTCCTACCCAGAACAAACAAACTGTTTATAGCACCAATTTCAATGTATTCCTGTGCTTCTTCTCTTGTGAAGCTTCCACTGTTCCTCAACATATCAACGAAGGCACAGGCAATTATACCATCCACGTTCAAAATTAAATTAGGTTTTTTACTTGTGGTTATTTTCTCAACTTCTAACGCGTATTCTACCAAAGGCTTAGCAGGGAAGTTCTCCATGACATATTCTTTGATAAGTTTCACTCGCATGTCTGGGTTATTTATAGACTTTATACGATGACCAATACCCATAATGAGTTTGCCCTTTTTGCGGGTATTATTTACAAACTCTTGTGGATGCAATCCAGCGTCATATGCTTCAGAGAACATATGAGCAGCACCATCTAATGCTCCACCGAAACGATCACCCTTTATTGCAATTTTTAAGAAATATTAATATTAATTTTACATGACAACAAAAAATTAGATTTTTGTTACACTTACAATAGTCAAAAGGCCAGATACAAGAGAGCTAACTAAATCTTTACCAGCTCTTGCACAAACAATAGTATTATGTGCTCCTGAAACAGCAGGTCCATGATCAGCTGTCAACATTAAAGACATTTCAAGGAATTTACAATACATCGGTGGCAAACATCTTTGGAACCATAATAATGAAACTACGCCACCGATTCCTACATTCTGTTTCAGAACTTCAGTTACAGGCATTCCAGCATACAACAATTCCTGACCACGTTCATCGCATATCGACGTCATGAACGATGCTGGTTTCCGGATCAAACCAAGTTCCTAAAAAATTAAGTTGCATATAATACTTGCATGAAAATATACACAACAATGCGTAATTAAACCAAGCGGTAATTAAACGCACCCTAGCCCAATTGTAATCCATAGGAACGGTTGGAGGTGGAACTTCAGGTTCAGGAACTATTGTCCCTTCTTTTACAAGGTTTTCGTAAACAGTCTGCATTAAGTCACCCAGATTATCGAAACTTTCCGGAACATAAGCACCAGCCTCTTTCAGTGCAGCGTTCTTGGCTGAAGCTGTTTCTAAATTGCTATGAGCAATAGATCCAGCATGGCCGAATTGTACTTCAGAGTTGAACATGCTGGCACAAGTACCGATACACCAAGCGATCAGTGGCTTCGTAATTTTCTTTACTTTCAGTGCTTCACAAACTTCGTACTCTTCCACACCACCAACTTCGCCAAGAAGAACTATGAGCTTCACTTTGGGATTTTCTTGATAACGCATTATGTGATCCATAAATGTCGTTCCTGGATAACGATCTCCACCAATCGCAACACCTTCCAAGACTCCGTTGGAAGCTTTGGAAATTATATTGTTTAATTCGTTGGACATACCTCCAGAGCGAGAAACATACGCAACACTAAAAATTATATTTTTTTAGCATACATATTCAGAATATTGAGAAATGAAGAAAAATTTTTATGTTGAATAACGAGAGTACCTGCCAGGCCTGTAAAGCTTGCTATGAAGAATATTGTCCATCATACCACCGGTATTACCGATCTTAAAGCAACCTGGTTTAACACCTCCAACGGTAGCAGGGCCGATAATTGTAACGCCTTTTTGTTGTGCCATTAAAATTAATTTTCTTGTCATATTTTCAGGTATTCCCTCGGCGATAATAGCAATTGTACGGATTTGAGGGAATTGCAATGTTTCAACTGTGCTTTCATACGCAGACCTTAAAGACGCAAATGTGACCATAACATCTGCATCAGTATGTTTCGTCATGGCGTCTTTCATTTGTTTATAGACAGGAATGAGTACCTGTTATTAAAAAGTAGGAGAAGTAGGAGAAATTTTTGTTACAATTTCAACAAAGTTTGCCGAATAAAATGAGGACAATTTTTTAAACCATACCTCTTTATGACCCCAGTAGAACTTCTGTTTGTGATCACCCGTGAAAGGATATACAATAGCAGCTACAGATGGTTCAGATCTGCGACAAACGAAGTCAAAGTCCAACATACTCTGGACGGCTCTCGTTTGCATTCCCCAAATAATGGCCCTAGTTTTATTGCTAAAGAGTTGTTTGTGCGCTGAACCATCAACAGAGTCACTTGTTTTTAAATTGGATTGTTTTGTCGGTGAGGAAGAAGTACTTTTTGGAGGAGCCGATGGACCCACGTCTTGTCCAGAAGGTAGTAAAAAATTCGCGGTAGAAAATTCCTGAGCTTCAGGGTCTGGAATTGGCTTTTTACCCAAAGCCATTGCACATATAGCTGTCATGTGAGTTTCTGGACCAAACACGTAACAAATCATCGTTAGTTGAGTACTTTTAGAATAGCAACTAAAATTATATCATTTAAATATATCTATACCTTAAACCCTCTTGATAATTAGGACCTGCTCTTCTCACGAATATTTGTACATTATGTTCTACAAGTTTAGGCTGATATTCTTGCAGTGCTTTTACAATGCCCTTGAATGTTGCAGCCACATTTGTAAAGTTAGCAATACCACCGCCGATGATTAATACTTTTCCCTCTTTTCGCTTTTCTTTTGTCATTAAACTCAAAATAGTTTTTGCATACTCGTAAGTCTGCTGTTCACTCGGCGCGCCCGAATATTCGCCATAGTTAGCTAGTTCATTTGCGACGCCTAAATCGCAGATCGTGTCCGAATATATTACAGATGCACCTAAAAGAAAAAGCGATTGGGAAATGACAAATGCACACGGACATAACAAGCCTTGTTAAAATAAGACAAACGATTTGACAATCACAATTTGGTTAGAATGAACTCGATTAATCACTTAAATGATACTGCTGTGCGCTTCTACTGACCACCGCCAGCAACCATTGTCCATATCCGACCGGCTGGATTAAGAAGAGTCAATTTCAAGCTAGCTCCAGACTTAGCGTCTAAGTCGGCGATATAGGCCTCCTCTGGGTAGGCATCCCTTCCAAATGGTGGTGGATAATCAATTTCTCCCCAGTCAGGTCTGCATATGAAGTCCGCAGTTGTATCCAATTTCGCGGCAAGATCAAGTATATAAATTCCACTTTTTGTTACTACCAGTGGATTTATCTCTAGATAAGTGAAATATAGGTTAACATAAAACCTATACAGTGATTCAATAAATTTGCCAATCATTCTGAAAATAAAATAAACATATCATTAGTAAAAAGTATATTTAAATTGAAAAGGTAACTTGTTTTGATATATTCTTACTCTTTTCTAGAATCTGCCACATTTATTAATAGTTTCTCAATTATGGTAGATCGGTCTGGTGGCTCTTCCCCAACAGCCACCTCTAGTTTTAAGGCTTTTGCATCAACATCTCCAATATCAACACCACCTTCATGATGAAATAAAATAGTATCAGCTTTCCGATGTGAATAGATACATACATAAGCTTCCTCTTCCTATAAATGAAAATATTAGTAATATTCCATCTTTACTTATTAATCTTCCTTTCTTTATAGTAGCAACAAATATTCACCTGTTTGTGGGGAACAAATGGTTCAATAATAAATGTTCTCAGTTTTCCAGTTGTTTTCCCCACTTGCTGATCTTTATTCATTCTTTCTGCAACCCATTGTTTCACTGTAGCTAAATCTGCATTTACTTTAATTAGACCAAGTTTTCCTCGCCGTTTAATTAGCTGATCAGGCTTTACAACCAATTTTTCTGCTTCAAGCCATGGATGTTCATTTACAGCATCTGTCCAATTTGTCTCTTCTGTGATGGTTACAAATCGACATTTTACTGTATTTGTGCCACAATGAAGCTTGCGATTAATAAGATTCTTCCCAGTTGCTTCACGAATTGCTTTTGCAGACATTTTCTAAAAGTTCCTAACAATAAATATGTAAGTATGTTATTCAAATACAATTTTAACGAAATATATTAAAAAAACGTTCAAAAGATTATTAGAAATAATAAATTCATTATTACTAAAATTTTAATGTTTTATTTACAGTATTTTCCTTAATATCAATAGTTTTAAAAAATGTTCTTTTAACAAATTATAATCTGTTCGTTCGAAAATGGGCGCGCAAAAGGTGAAAGTAGAGAATTACGGTTTTAAATGTTCTCAAATTTAAATTGTATGGTTCCAAGTAGAAGTCGACCGACCGCATTCCAGTGACGGGGAGAACTTGTCGAAATAATACATATACCGATTAATGTTGTCACGCATCGAAGATATACACTTTTTTTAGATATAAAAATTTCAAAAAAATTTGTTTTTAACTTAGAGCAATTAATTTGAAATAACATTAATGCAACCAATATACAATCAATACTAATAAAATAGAAGTTATACGCTTTCACAAATTGCATTTTACATCACACTATCATTTAAATAATATATATGCATTTTTTAAAAAACAAGAGTTACACAACCATTGAGGTATATATGTACATAATTTGCAACGGGTACGTAACGAGCCAATTTACATTTATACGTAAACGTGAAACAACCGTTTCAATTATAATGTAAACAACACAAAAAAGAAAATCATTTATTTTACACCTAGAAAAACTCATTACAACAATTAATATTTTTAAATATTTATTTTAACTGAAAATCAATGAATTTTTATTAAATTCTTTAGCCTTCGTAATATGATACAAAATATAATACAAACGAAGTATTTAATTGATATATAATGCTTCGGAAAATTATAATAAAGGTACGGAACTTCAAAGAATATTCTGTATCCGTGGTATTTACTTGAAATGCAAGCGAATCAAATAGTTATGTCAGCCAGGAACTGGCAACTAAAATTATAATTTAAAATGAGATTCAATATTCCAATCTGAATTGCTAATGTATTGCTACAACTGAATCAATGTTTAAGCAACATTAATTTGTCGGAAAAAAATGGAAGATATTTAAAAAAAAAAACTTTCACTTCGACACTAGCGACTACGTGGTTGTTCACGTCATCATGTTTAATTTTTTCATTTTTCCTGTTGCTACCAATGTACATTAATTTATCAATAAATTTATGTACACAAAATTTCATACATTACATAAAATGTTTCTAATAAATAAACGAAACATAATTTCAGTAAATTCAATGAATAAATATTTGTTTATTAAAATAGACAAATAATTGAGTCAAATCATAAAAAAAAAGAAAACAATGAAGGAATGTACACTCACTCTATGGAAAAAAATTTCGTACTCTACCTATAAACCGACAAATGTTATATGAATTAAACCTTAACCTCTTTGCGCTAAATTTTCTAACCTACGAGATTCGACTGAAAGAAGAGAAAAACACGTCCGCGTTGCAAAACCGCTGGCGGTTAACTAAACGATCCAAGTAACACTGCGCACATAAGTAACAGTAAGAGCTCACGATATCTCGAGATATCATACGATTCTACCGTTTTTTTTCCACAGTTGGTCGCATTAACCTATTTTATTTTTTTTTAGTGTCACGTGGTGTACATCCTTTGTAATTTGAAGATTAGAATATAAAAATGTTCTCTAAAATTATATAACTGCAATGATAATTTTTTTTACCCTTCTTAACTAAGACCAAGTAATTTTGTCGATGTTACTAGGAACAATTACATCGATTTATACGAAAAATTATGCTCAACTTATCTTAATATTTGGTTTGAAATGACATAGTGTTTTAAATTCTACTACAGGATCTTTTAATTTTCATAAATTGTCTCAATTTGTTACCTCTAACATTGAAACTAGTAATTTATAGTTTTTCATATACGCTTTAGTTGAAATTTTATTAAGTAATTAGCATATTTTTAGTTTTCTCCGTTCGAACATAATCTAGACGAAAAAACTTTTCATATCTAACAAGTGTTGTAAGTTCAACGTGTCGATATTTTTGGTATCTACTGATCCTACATATCTGGTGAAACAAACGTAATCCACAATTTTTCTTTTACTACAATATCTACACATATTTAAAGACATTTTGTGCACGGAAATTATGTATTGTATTTATAGTAATGAGATACAATGAAGTTTGTTTTATACACGTAATACAACATTCACGAGAATCAAAGAACTGCTGTTTCTTACAAATTATGCCGACGTCCGAACAAAATGTCCAAGTTTCGAGAATCATACGAGAATTAACTATTCATCACGTGACTTATAACGCGATCACTATTTACCACGTGGACAGATAGCAAAAGTTTTAAAACTCTTTTGAATGTTATGCAATTTATTCGTAGTTTTATCATCTAAGGAATTGCTATGTTTAAAAAGATTTGACCATGAGGTGTGAATTTGCATAGAAAGAATCAACATGCCAATATTAATATAAGAAGAATACTGGAAATGACTGTCATTTAACTTAAAATTGAGAACGAATTCTTGTAAACGAATTACTTTTCTTAATGAATAATTATACTTTAATTATAAAATTATGAGATGTATACTCAGCAAAATTGTAGTTATACCTAAAATACAATATCTAAAAATGAATGACGATTATTGATTACAACGATAAGTTTATTTATCATTATTTTTCTGCGATCACGCATTGGCACCGTTTTACAAGTGATTATTTCATGATACCTTCGTGATAATCACGATTTTTATTCAAGCGGTTCTCAAAATGAAAGCATATTGCTTTTAGTTATGTTACTAGATAATTTATCACTAAATAAATACCAGATAACATGACAGCATCTATTAAATCGTAATACTTTCGCTATATAATTGAAAACACTGATTAGAAAATTATTCGAAGTATCAAGTTCTTATCGTTAAATGATTTCATAATTATAAACTGATAAAGAACACAAGATTTTTAGAGAAACTGAATGAGAAATCTAATGATACTTCTTTTATTCATTCTACATATCCTTGTAATAAAAAGCTTACAAATTAGTTTTAAGTACTAGAAAAATAGGTTGAATTTAAGTAACAATAGTTCCATGGAAGGGATCAGCTTATCTTTCCACTTGTGACCATCTTGTACACTGAAGTTCAACCTTGACCTTTTCAAACAGCCAAGACTGGAAAATAAGTATCTAACATAGCTCTTGAAAAATATATAAAAGATAGAAAAATTAAAGAATTAACGTAAAAACGCAAAAGTAAAACGAAAGTATGAATTGTGCTGTAATTCAAATTAAATAGAACTAACAATCTAATGCATTTCATACCTTGCAGTAACTTAGAAAAAGATATACAACGAAATAACATAATTCTGGGTTTAATACATAATAAATAATTTATTAGTTTTTTCACGATATATTTTTGTTGTTCTGTTTTCAATACGTAATGCAGATAATAACGATGGTATGAAACGGAGTTTCTTGTATAGACGATTAGCATTTGCTATGTCACGATAAACTAAAATTGTCATATTTGTCCGTTAAAATAATTAAATTTTTAGGAAAAATGTAAATACGAAGATTTTAAAAAATTTGAGTTGTGTAAACATTTATGTAATACATACTCCGTGTTATAAATTAATACCATTTATAATAATACAGTAAACAATTTTAATTTTAAGATTATAAAAAATGAGGTTATGCTTTTCTAATATTTGATATAAATTACAGTTTACATAGTTAAATCAACACTTTAGCAAATTGAATTAAAGAAAAATTGAGTCATAAATAATTGTTTCATTTTTTTCCTATTATGATATTAATTATTTACACTTCGATATTATAATTACTACATTGCTAAATATTTATTAGGTATCAAATGTTTCTTCTGAAGAGTCTTTAAGCCGACAAGGTTAGTTTATCATTCCAAGGATCGACTTACAAATTATATGAAAATAATAAAAAATCACTTACGATTTGTCACCTACATAAACAGATGTAACGGTGTGAGATATTTTAGAAGTGTTCGCAATTTGAGAAACCAAAGAAATGTCTACTTAAAGCTGCTCATAAAAAAACTACTTTACATTCTTAGCTTCGACGACATTAACGGTATGAAGTGCAACTCAAAGTTATTGACACATTTTCATGATTGAAATTGTGCTGTCTTTGTTTTACTTTGTACTCTTTTCGAATAAATAATAACAACGAAATTTTATTCTGTGTTAAGATTTCATGTGTATTAATGAAAAATATTGTTAATTTTATACGAATATGTTTAAACATTATTGGATCACGTGACGTAGTGGCAGTACGTCATATCGTATGATTCTTGCAACAGTTAGCTGCACGTGAATTTTAAATTAATGAAAATGCATTGAAATTAATATACAATAAAATTTGCTACTCATATCATGAAAAATTGCAGTAAAAAATGTAGAAATTCATGTAAAGAAGTTTAGCACGAATTAAATACGACCATATATGTACAGCAATAATGATAACGTTTATTTTGATCAAATATTGGAAAATTTTTGTCATTTAATATCAATAATCATCTAAGAAAGAATATTGCGTTATGCTATATAAAAATATACTATTACAAAAACTTTTACATAAAGTGGTGCATTATATTGTTTCATAATATATAATATTATACTATTTTTAATAATACATAATTAAGTCAACTTATATGAAAGAGCTGATTGATTATTTGTTAAAATATTTTATCATATTTGTGATTAGTAACAACTTTATATAAATATGTTATAAATCTAAAATGTTATTCAAAATGTTAATATTTACATATTCAAAATGTATATAAATATTATTTTTGAAAAATTTACTTTTTATATATCTCTTCTTTTTAAACATGAAATATTTTAAAATGATATGCTGAAGTAATGCAACTGATTGCAGTGTTTTTGTGATATACTTCCATTTTATGTTATTGCATTATAGTATCACGTTTCTTTTTTTTGGGGCAATGAATATTTTGCATTGTTACATATTTTGTATGTATCAAAAATTGTCTATACATCAATCTTTGAATAAGTATTTAAATTATTGCTCTTTACATGATTATACTCTGTTCTCTAGTTTTGAAATAAGATCCTGTACATTTTCTATAACACTATATATATATGGACGTTCCATGGGATTTACTTTCAACATTGATAAAATTAGATTTTGCATATCCTGTAAAATAAAAAATCTGAACATTAGACATTCATATTTTAATGAAATACAAGTAATGCTAAATATGTAACCTCTGTGTATGGAGCATCTTCTGGGAATGTAATATTTGCACTCATAACAGCTAAAGCAACACTATCTCCTCTCTCATATACAGTATCAAATGGTGATTTAAAATAACACAGTGCATAAAGAATACATCCTATAGACTAAAAGAATATGTGTATTTAAATAAATATAACAATATGTAAGGAACTGTATAAAGACATTGATTTTACCCAAATATCTGTACGTTCATCTACCATACAGTAACTTTCAACATTAAATAATTCTGGTGCTCTGTAAGGCATTGAACATCTTTCAGCTGCTAAATCTTGTAAAGTTTGTGCTGCTTGTGATCCACATACTTTAACTCTAGCAGGTGCTACAGAGCCTACAAAATTAATTAAAATTCAGTAATAATAGCAATAATAGTTATTTTTCTCCTTATAACAAGAAATCTATACCTAAATCCATTATTATAGGTGTATTTCCATCACCAAGAACTATATTTGCAGTCTTTAAATCTCTATGAGCAAGAGGTTCTGGTTTTGCTTCATGAAATGCTTTTACACCTTCGCATATTTGTAAAAAAATATTTAAAGTATCTAATGTGCTCATGTAATCTTTATTTTTAGCACGTCTTTCTAATTCATTTGCGAGAGTACCTCTCTAAGAGAAGATAATTTTTATATTTTTTTCAATTGGTTTGTTTAAAATTGAAATATGTTATAATACTATAACTTACATGATAATATGGTAAAACAATTAATACTTCACTAGTAGCATTAACAATAGGATCTGCAGTTCCTTTATATGTAGAATCAATACATTCTATTACATTTTGATGCTTTACAAGATTATGATACTCTATTTCTTTTGCTGCTAATCTCTGGTCTTCCAATCCATGACAAATGATTTTTTTAATAGCATATTGCTTATGAGTTGTTGTATCTTCTACTAAGAGTACAGTGCTAAATCCACTAAAATTACATTAAAATTCAATTACATAAAACATGAACTAATACCATATACTTTATATTTGATTAAATAAAATACATATGCATACAACTTAAAAATGTTGTTACTCACTTTTATATAAAGCAAATATGGTAGATTAGGTTATGTGAGAATGCAATAAAATTAATTTCATTGATAACGGAATTGTAATATTGTACAAAATAATTTATAAAAACGAACATCGATTTATAAAATTCATATAAACAAAAGTATTACAATAATTTATAAAAATATGTTTTATGTTAAACTTGCCCTTCTCCAAGATGTTCACGAACCGTATAATTTCTTGAATTTACCGTGATTGTTTCCTTGGAACATATGCAACCCATTTTTAAAATCAAACTTAAACCAAGACTGTTCATTTCGATTTATACATAATAAACGAAATAATTCATTTAATATAATTCTTTATCGATGTGCAAACATCTTGACACACGTCACGTATGTTACCATGAGACTCGCAATCAGTTTAAGCTAGATAGACGTATATCAGCTGTTTGCAAACAATTTGGTAAACGGGTTCTTTAAATTGATCGAATTAGAATTTTATCGGAAATGTATAAATGAAAAATTGACGTAAAATTTTTAATATTAAATTGTTTCAAATTATTCTCTCACAACAAGTTAAATCAAAAATTGTGAAGTGTAATCTACTTTTCTATCCTTGCAATAGAAGTAATTAAAGTCGAAATGAACAATTTGTATTTATAACTTTTCAATATGGTTAGAGAAGAAACAAAAACTGCTTTCAAAGTAATTTGTTTTCTTTTTCAATGACTAAATTTTATATGCAACAAAAATTTTGACGTTCTATTAGATATGTGCTTTAAGAAATTTGTACATATTTATGACAAAATTTGGTGTTAAAATAATGTTTTTGTTATTTCATGTCTTATATTACTAGGTAGTGTTTAGTCTCTCATGGATATTTTTTGCAAGTTATTATTTTTGGGGTGCAAATGAAGTAACTGTAACAGCTCCAATTGATGAATCTGGTTGGGTACCAGATGGAGCATTTGCAAGAGAAGTTATTCAAGCTTCGGAACAACGGGCTGATGAAGGAGAGGGCTAAAATTATAAAAATTTTATAAAAATAATTACAACTATATAAAAAGTTATACATTTAAGTCTTAATTGCCTATTTTGGATATAATAAATGATAGTTCATAATTGTAAACATTTAATCATTTTTATTTGAGACAAAATATGGAATTTGTAACTATCATATTTTGATCATAATAAACTTTGTATAGGACTAGAAAATTAATTACTATCACATTCTTTACATGAATTTAAAATAGATATTGAACTAAGTTTATTAAAATGTATAACATTTTTTTATGGTTACTTGTATGAAAGTAACTTATTGTAACAAATTTTTATCAAATGATCAGAGACTTAATATAACAGATATTTAACATATGAAGTTGTCCTCTTTTGCTAAATGTGATTAAGAGTTTGTTGTTTCATTCTCTTGAGTACTGTCACTTGGAGTTTTAGTAGCCTCTAGATCATTTTGCAATTGTGCTTGCCACATAGAACAGTACATTCCATTATAAGAAATCAGTTCTTCGTGTTTGCCTCTTTCTAGAATTTCTCCATCTTTCAAGACAAGGATTTCATCGGCATGTATTATCGTGGATAATCTGTGTGCTATAATAATAGTCGTTCGATTAGCACAAACTCTACTTAATGCAGCTTGAATGTTGCGTTCTGTTTGTGTATCCAGCGCGCTTGTTGCTTCGTCCAAAAGTACAATTGCTGGTTTTTTTAGTATTGTACGTGCGATAGCAACACGTTGTTTTTCTCCACCACTTAAACGAAGACCTCTTTCACCAACCTATACATAAACAGAATAAAATATTTAAAAATTAACAATATCACAGTTCAACATCATTGAATAGTTCTGATACACACCTGTGTTTCATAACCATTCGGAAACGACAGAATTCGCTCGTGAATATCTGCATTCCTAGCTGCTGATATTACATCCGCATCTACAGCTTCAATGCGACCATACTGAATATTGTACTTTATCGTGTTGTTAAATAACACTGTATCTTGAGGTACAACACCTATTGTTCGTCTTAAAGAATCCTGTGTGACGGTCTTAATATTTTGTCCGTCAATTAAAATCATACCTTGTTCCACATCATAAAATCTGAATAATAGTCGTACGATAGTAGATTTTCCAGATCCAGATGGCCCAACTAGTGCAATAGTCTTTCCTGCTGGCGCGACAAAGCTAATATTTTTTAATACAATTTTTTCGGGCACGTAACTAAACGATACATTTGAGAATTCCACTTGACCACGTTTTATTATCAATGGTCCAGCACCAGGAGCATCAATTATTTCCTGTTCTTCTCTTAAAAGATCAAACATGTTTTCCATATCAATGAAATTTCTTTGTATAGCACTATAAAAATAAAAAATAATTAATTTACAAGAAATAGTGCAATTTTAAATGAATTCATTCATCATTATTTTAATACTTTAGTGTTGGTATAAATATTCACCGGTAATATGTTCCAAACCAATTTAATGGCATATAAAGCTGGATGATGTAACTTGCAAATAACACATACTGACCAATAGTTAAACCTTGTTTTGTTACAACCTGTAATCAATAAATTATACGTGCTTTTTTAATTGAAAATTTTAAAATAAAAGTACTTTCTGCACTAACCATATGCAAACAAAGCAAAGACCCAGTTAACAAACCACTGCAAACAATTATATTTTGCAAAGAATTTAAAATATTTAATGTTATTAATGATTTCCATTCTTCTATTTGGTAGTTCACTATTGCTTTTTTATAACTATTGACTTCATATGATTCTGCTCCATAGTATTTGACTGTTTCAAAATTAAGTAGACTGTCAACACTTCGTGCTTTTTGAGCATTATCTGCTAAATTCATGCGTCTCTGGAACTTAGTGCGCCATTCAGTGACCAAGATTGTGGTAGCTAATTTAATTCAATATTGAAATTCAATAAAAATTCAGTCTTACTACTGGTAGTAGTAAAATTATAAATTTATATAATGCTTACCTATATAAAGACTCATAGTCACAAATACTATTAAGCCAAACCACTTATTAAAAGCACTAACAAAGAAGACAATAGCAATAATAATATCAACAATTGTTGGAACAATTGAAAACAGAATATAACTAAGCAAATTATTTATGGAATCTGTTCCACGATCCATAATTCTTAAGACTTCTCCCGTTTTTCTTCCTAGATGCCAACGCAAACTTAAACCATGTAAATACGAATCCATAGAAATGATCTCAAATTATTTAATAATCCCATACCATCTGTACCTCCACCTTGTAAGAATTTGAATGCTACATATATCAATACAAGATCCCATCTATTATGAAAGACAAAAATTTTATGAATTGCAACACTTGCATACTTCTTTAACATTTTAACATAAGTTTTATATACCTAAATAATTCAGGAGTATCTTTAATACTGTCTACTATCTTTCTATTATAAATGACAACATATAAATTTATTACACGTCCTGATATAAGTAAGCCAAAGCAAAAAATAGCACGCAACTGAAGCATAAAAGTCTTTGGCCATAAAAATGGTGCTAAAGTTTTTATCTTATACCATGCATTCTTCCATGCAGAGCTGGTATCATCCAGTCTCTGAAAGTAAGGACATTATCATAGTTATATTATGGTAAAAGAAAATTTAATAAGTTAGAAATGTAAA